TTGCTGCCTGGAGGTCATCTTGATTCCAGGTAACAGCCCCAGCCGTCCAACTCCAGCATGACTCAACGAGAGTTCGGATCATCCGAATCTTAGCCATCCAGGGACCAGGCGCTCTCAGGACATCACGATGCTTTGCCGCAGCAACCCTAGCCCGGCCCAGGAGTTCCTTTGCCTGCTGGGATGGCGGGGCATGGAAGGAGAACGACAGACCGCGGACTTTAACAGACTCAGAAGGATCCGAGATGACATACCGGTCTTGCCCAACGGTGGCCAGTCGACTGCCGCGAAAATGGGGGCTTGCGATGATCTTTGTCTTCTCCACGGCCAGTTCCAGACCCACCTCACGAAGGGCCCGGCCAATGAGGCGAATCCGGCGAATAAGTTTGCCAAAATCCTGCTCCACTAGAAAGACATCGTCCTGGTAAAACATGAGATCGACATCAAGATCTGCGAGGGAAGAGCCAAGAGTCTGCCATTTCGCCCCCTGCCTCAACGAGCACAACACGTCATCCATTACTAGGCCAAACAGTTCCGCGCTTTCTGGAGCACCCTGCTTAATGCCAATGCTCGAGGAGAGCTGAATTGAGGCACCGCCAGGTACTTGCCCAGTCATGGAATGTGTGCGTAGTTGCAACAAGAGATAGCGTAGTTCAGCATCACACCCCTGCTGTTGAAGTCGCCGAAGAAGAAGATCAGCAACTTTGCGACGATCTACTCTGTCAAATGCCCCAGCCACATCAAGTTTGCAAAGAAGACATGGAAGACGCCATTCTCGGACAACATCTCGAATTCGTCCAACTGCGCCGATTAAGTCCGCGGTCTGACGTCCCTTGCCACAGGAGGAAATGGTGGATCCTCGCCTAAGTTTCGGCAGCGTGCGACTGCATACAAGCCTATTGACAAGTTTGTTGAAGCAGCTGCTGATACAGATTGGTCGAAGATCTCGCGGTCCAGCTGGTGTGGGACATTTGGCAAGGAGTGCGAGGTAGCTGTCGTTCCACTTTTGTGGCACCTGACCCTCCTGGACAATGTGGTTAATGATGTCGATGAACTGAGGGGCAAGGACATCATCGTTAGCCAATTCACGAAGCAAACTCACCCCGATGTAATCTGGTCCCACCGCGCTGCGGCTTTTCATTCCAAGAAGTTGCTCCCGCACCTCGGTGAGACTGAAGGGAACAAAGGCATCAGGTAGAGGAACTTGTTGCAGGAGTGACCGGAGCTCTTCATCCCAGGCATCAGTGGAGTGGGCCGTCATCTTGCGAACGAAGTGTTCCTGCACCTGGGACGTGAGTTGTTCCGAGGAGCGGTCCATCAGCATGCGGCCCCACCACCCTTTGGTCCGATTACGTTCACGCTGCAGCGCACGATACTCGTCCCAGTTACCTTGCAGGATTTGAGAGAGCCGGGCTTGTTGCCATTGACGCCTGGCGCGTTTGCGAGCTTTGTGTGCACGTTTCCAAGCCCCAGCCGTCCCCATCCTCTTGGCCTCAAGAATTTCTTCACGAACCTCTGGGGGGTCTCGGTAGGCACGGCCTGGTTTTGGGGCAGTGTGCGAGCGCGCAAGTGCCTCAATGTCATCAGCATCAATCAAGTCGTCAGGCGGAAGGCGAGAACGGACCCAGCGGGCTCGTGAGTCCGCCCCCCAGCGCAATGGTGCAATCTTGTTCATGGCATAGAGGGAGATGTGCACCATGGCGTGATCAGATCCTATCACATGCCGTCGTTCAGGATCAATAATGGCCTCCTGGCATGCAGCTTGTCGTACCCAAACGGCATCAATTTGGCGACCACGGCGGTTTGCATCACGTGGGTAGTGGGTGGCAACCGCTTGTTGAACTGGACTGGGAGCACAAGGACGTAGTCCAGTCCGGAGTGCAACTTCCACCATGGAGTTAAGCTTGGCTGAGCCAGAGGTGAGCTCAGGGTTTTCTCCACTGTACGACCACACCAACTGCTCATTCACGTCCGCACCAAGCACTAGTGGGTACTGTCTCCATTTGGCTGGCAAGGTCGCAAAGTAATCATCGACTGCACCCGCATACACAGCTGCTGTAACACCAGTGTGGCAATGCAAGGCGCCCAGGACAACACGCCCCAGGCCTCGTATTCTGGCAAGCACCCAAATGCCCCGCGAAGAGGAGCGACGATCAATGACAGAGTCGAGGCGATCTTGTGAGACACCGATGGCTGTACCACGCCACTGTCGACTGTCACGGAACGTCACCCAGTGGAAGTAGTCTGTGTCTTTGGTGTCCCACCCCTCCTTGAAAGCTTCACGGGAGACTTCTTGTACAAGAGCAATTTCACAATCACGAAGGGCAAGATCTAGGATTTCAAGTTCTTGTCCTCCTAAATTCCAACATGCAATTCGCCCCCAACGATGTGATTCACCACGAGGAGCAGCAGGCGCAGGATCAGAGGGAGGTTCCTTAGGAAAGTCACCCTCCGGATTTGCAGCGGGAGTGAAACCATTGTCCTGCTGTCACAGCTCAAGCTCAAAAGCCGCCCGAGCAGCAGCAACATCGCAGCCAGCGGTGACCGCGACGGCCTCCAAATCAACCCAGCCGCCAGGCAATTGCACCACATCATCCGACTTCGGCATCCTATGCGTGGCCGACCCCAACTTCTTGAAGCCACACCAAGCCGTGCCTGCCGACCAATCCATGTCGTATGCCGTGAACATCTGGTTCATTTGGTGCTTAATACATCCATTGTCGTCCTTGGTGTCCTCGACCAGGCCGACTGTGACGCGGCGGATCATGCTGATGTGTGAAGTTCTCAATCTCGCGTTCCTGGTCTTGACGAACCCCGCCCAGGCGACCTTGGTTTCCCCAGCCTGCTTGGTGCTGTCCAGGTTCAGCTTGAGCGCTGCCACAGCCTTGACCACGAGCCACATGAGTGCCTTTACATCCTCGAAGCAGTGTTCATCAGCTCGCTGACTAAATTTAAGCATCCCAACACTTCTCCTGGGGCCATAGACTGCCAGCTTGGGGGTGTCGATGAGGTCCTTAATGGTTGGGTGAAGAAGGATCGCCTCACTTTCTTCCTCGATGACTGCTTTTCGCGTGTCTGCAACCCATCCACCAATGATCAACGTCTTCTTCTCGTCCTCAGTGAGCGTGTCATTGGGGTCAGTGTTGAAGGCGTCGGCAGAGGTTGCAGGTCCATGTCCACGAGCTGGTCCGGGCGGGAGAAAGTCGCCCCCAGGTGTCTTCAGTCGTCGGCGTGCTGGACCAAAGGGAGGAGGCCACTCTTGTTGCTTTCGAATGTAATCTGCCCAGGGGTCATGGGGGACGTTGGCCAGATCGTTCTTCCGGTCGGGACGGTCACTGGAGGAGCCCTTCGTCTGCAATTCACCCCATTGCACTTTGAGGTTCTTGACTTCCTCAGTAAGCTCCTGAACTTTGATCTTTCCAGCCTCGTGCTCTTTCCGAATGGAGGAGAGGTCCCGCTCCAAAACTTTAGTTCGCCCCTTGACGGATTCCACATCACCCTTAAACTGAGCTTGGCAACCTTCAACAGAGCTGACCCTAGATTCAACAGACCCAACCCGAGACTCAACCTCGGTCCAAGCTTGCCGCATGCTCATCATGTGTCCTTGTAGTAGTTCACGAAGTTCACGCCCGGTCATGGGGAGGTCAGCACCAGGGTCTCCATGGGGACGCTTTGTTGGACTCTCCGCATCGTCTTCGTCTTCTTGCCCAGATGGATCGGCACTTGAACCCCGATGCACAGTCCTCACTGCTTCAGCACGAGCACTTTCAGACGAAGTGGGAGCCCCGCGCTTGCGCTTCTCGAGGCCTCGGTGCTCAGTCCCAGTCTTGACCTCTTTGTCGTCGAAGATTTCAAGATCAGAGCCGTCGGCAATCTCAGTGGGCGATCTGGGCTCAGTTTGCATTGGCACCACGTCCAGCTCCGGCGTAGTCATGACGAAGTGGCACAGGAGGCAGATGTCACCACACAAGCACTTTGAAGCACCAAGGCAACACACGTCACCCAGCGTAGGTCGACAAGTGAATCAACGGCACCGCGAGCACGGACACCAGCAAGATGGCAAAGTCACCCGCGTCCCCCAGCGTAGGTCCACAAGTGAATCAACGGCAGCACGAGCACGGTCACCAGCGAGTTGGCAATGTCACCCTCCCAGCGTTGAGCAGGTGCAGAAACGTGGTCTGGACGTAGAAGAACTCGCCCCAGGACCAGGCCAGCGTCGTGGCAGTGTTCACGTTCCACCGACAAGTCGCCCCACAGCACGCCCCAGTTCAACTTTGACGATCCAACTTGCAACGCACTTTCACTTCAACCCTCAGGGCACCCCTTGTGGTAGATCACAACAATGGCACAATTCTCACAGCTAAGTTCACAGAGACCTTTGGCTACGGAGAAGTTTGGGCCGAGACTTGAGCCAAAATGGCTACGGCCAAAGAGTTTAGGGTGTAGGGTTTACATAGGGATATTAATCGGCACCGAAAGTGCCATTGTAGTTCCCTTTTCTGGTAACCAGAAAAGGTAACTACAATGGCGACGGTTGAAGGATCTGCAATACGAGTTTCAGCTTAGATAGGACCTTAATACGGCTTCGCGCAGGGTTTCATGGGTTCCTTAACCCTAAACCCTAAACCCTAAATGCTTAAAGGATATTTGTGGGAATTGGTCTGCGGGCCATGGGTTCAGGGTTGATATAGGGTTTGCGGCTTTAGAGACTGAAGGTAGGGGTTGCGGTAGGCGCTTGTGTGTTTGTGTTCTTGGGGGGCTCTAAGGCTTTGGGGGTCCTTGGGTTTTGGGGGCTTCGAGCTCGTGTTTGAGCTTGGCACATAACCATGGGATGAAGTCAGAGACCCTGGACGCTGAAACGTTCGGCCTGTCCAAGGGATGATTGCTTTGCCTGTTTTAGGGATGACCGGAAAGAGGCCCCCTAAACACCTAAACCCTAAACGCCTAAACCCTTAAACCCTAAACCCTAAACCCCTAAACCCAGAAGCCCAGCTTCGGCCGGCCTGAAAAGAAGAGAACTTGGCCGGCAGCGTGTCATGAAGCATGGCCTCGGCAGCACAGGGCGAGTTTGGGCGATTGGGCTTTATCCATAGGCCCCATGTGGCTTATATTTAGGATCCTATTAATCCCAAAAAGGAACTACTATGGGGCCCGGGTAGGGCTTCGAGGGTTTTAGGGCTTTTGGGCTTGTGCTTGTTTTGGGCTTTCGGGTGTTAGAGTTTCTGCTGTTTGGACGCTCATCACTTACTTGCAGGTGGGTTTCGGGCTTCATAGACTCTAAGACTCTGAGAGTTAAGGCAGGCACTTTAATCCCATGAGCCCAGCCCGCGGTTCAGGAACAGTGGCCTGCTACTTGTGGCTTTCCGAGGTGCATGAAGCTGCATGACCTCCTGCAGGAAGTTGGGGTCATAGCCTGGCATCTGCAGAGGATACTTCTGATGATGCTGGCGATGATGATGAATATACATTTTCGAAGTCTGAGGAAAGTTCACGGTGACGACGGCTCGGTGGCGCTTGTACTTGTGATGGACTACCTACGCAAACCTCCGTGGGGTTTAGGGTTCGGCCTTGAAGTTCACGAAGAAGTTACGTAGACACACCGTGAACTTCAAGGCACCTAGGCGACAGTGTAGCAGCTGATGCTGCTGATGATGATCCTAAACCCAAAACCCAAAACCCTAAACCCCTAAACCCTAAACCCCTAAACCCAAAACCCAACACCCTAAACACGTGATGATGATGGTTATGATGATGAGCAGTCCGGACGCAGCAGAGCCAATGGCTGGCTGGTGGGTACGTAGTACGCAAACAGCCCATACATGTCAACATAATGTACATCTGTATCAAAAGCATAAATATCAACATAATGTACATCTGTATCAAAGGCTATCTATCTATCGAGTTGTCGATCTATCTATCTAAGATATCTATCTAACTTTCATCTGTCGAACTATTCTCTATGTATGTATTTATGTCTATGACTATATCGATATCTAGATCTATACCTATATCTATGTCTGTATCTATACATACATGCATGCATACATACATGCATACATACAAACATACAAACAAACAAACATACATACATACATACATGCATGCATGCATGCATGCATGCATGCATACATACATACATACATACATACATACATACATACATTACCTACATACATGTGTATACGCGCATACATAAATATTTGTGTGCATACATATATATATATATATTGTATACATAATCCTTTCGGGGTCAATAACAAGTCTAACAAGCAGAACCGTCCATTTACTGATTCTTGTTGGCATTATGTTAGGGCTGGTGTTGAGACGACGAAAAGCATGTGTACTATCGTGCCGTAGGCTCTGTAGGTGCCAGATCTCTGCGTCCCCGGCACCGTGGTGGTAACAAATATAGCTTCGACTCCTCTTTTGGCAAGGAGTAAGGAGTAGCGCCCAAAAAGGCACAATCACATAAACAAACACACACACACACACACATACACTCCCTCCCTCCCTCCCTCCCTCCCTCCCTCCCTCACGCACTCACTCACTCACTCACTCAGACCCTAAGTTTGGGAAACCTTAAACCCACGGCTCTCAACCCGAAACGGAGGATGTTGGGGAACATGCAGATGGCAGACAGCAAGCCTGAAGAGTCCGTGGCTGCCGCCTGCTTCAAAGGCATCTCAAGTGGGTGTTCGAAACTATAGCTACGGGGTTTGGGCATACTCGGTTTTGCGACGGGTCTGTATAGCACTGACCCTACTATTCTAAGAGGGTCTTGAGGTTGCAGGCGTAAGCGCGGCACACACCATGAGTGCGGGATTTAGGTTGCAACCTTGAGCCTAAACTCTGAAAGAAAAACCCTATCAACCCATGACCCTTAACATATCGTCTTGCCGGGTTTAGGGCTTAAGCGGTTTAGGCTTTGGGTGCTAAGGTTGGGAAGATTAGGGTTTAGCGCTTACGGGCTGGGGTGAAGAATGACGTGTGGCAGCAGGGAAATCACGGTATGCCGGCATTCTAAAGTAGCCACAGGAAGTATAAACGTGCTTTGGCACTTTGCTATGTTTCGTAAAGCTAAGAAATGCCTTCGCTCGAGTGCGCATGAGCATGTCAACAACTGTGTGGAGAAAATGTGTGTCTGCATGCACGCATGCATGCACGTATGCATGTTCTGTCTGCAAAAAACAGAAATTCTGAAAAGCATTGAAATAGTGCACGGTTAGGTGGTCAAGGTGTATGTCCGTATGCCTGTCTGTCTGTACTGTGACTGTGTGTTTGCGCAAGTATGTGTATACAGTGGTAGTTTCATCCCCTAAACAAAAAACCCCGAACCCAAAGCCCACAAACCCTGAACCCTAAACCCTATAAACCCTATAAACCCTATAAACCCTATAAACCCTATAAACCCTATAAACCCTATAAACCCTATAAACCCTATAGACCCTATAGACCCTATAAACCCTAAAAATTTGTACTCTGGCGCCTCAGCGCTCTTGGCCTTCAGCGTGTTAGCGAAGGTGTCGATGAGACGATCCCAGGAGCGCCTCGAGCATCGTTGGTGGGGTCGGGTTTCCGGGTTTAGGGTTTAGGGTTTACGGGTTTAGGGTTTAGGGTTTACGGTTTCATTCTTAGCCAACCTCGTTGAGCGAACTCGCTGTCCAGATTTCAACGCACGGAAGAAACCAAAAAATGAGCTACAGAGACAGAGATTCTGTATATAACGATTGCATATGGGTTGGCTGAGAGAGTCTTCTAAGCCAAACTCCTTTGGAAAGTATTACATGGGCTTTAATCATTAGAATAAGGTTTGCAGGCATATTCTAATACAATTTCTTCAAGCCTCTATGCCAGAGAATATTTTTGTCACAAGGCTTACAGCGGCAATTGACATTGGGTTTCGGGCTTTTGCGAACCACGCTGGATGTTGATCTTATCCTCGCTAAGTTTCCTACACATGAAGAACTCCTTGTCTGAAAAGAGGTTCAGTGTCGGTTAGAACTGCTTACCTCGCACACCCTCATCACAACATGATTGAATGCGTCACCTGTTCGGCTGGGATTGATGCTACAAGATTTAATCGTACAGGGGTTGCGTGAAGCCGTCCCTGGACCGTACCCTAAAACCCTAAACCCTAGCACCTCGAACTGATGACCCTTAACCCCGAACCTTATAGATCCCTTCTAGAACCCTTATAGATCCCTGTGAAGGAACCCTAAACCCCTAAACCCCAAACCTTCTACAGATCCATAGAACCCTCACAGATCCCTTATAGAACCCTTATAGATCCCTTATAGAACCCTTATAGATCCCTTAAAAGAACCCTCATAGAGTCCCGTACAGAACACTTGTAGATCCCTCTGAAGGACCCCCAGAAGGGCCCCCATGGTCTGGGACTTCAAGGCACTCAGGTGTCGGAGGCTGCCCATGACCCCCCAGAATGCTCCTGGCCTAAGGCCATAGATGCTGCATCTTCCCTTTAGGGTTTAGGGCTTATAGGGTTTAGGGCTTAGAGGGTTTAGGGTCATCTTCAAGTACCATTATAGGGGTAGTTCTCTAAATTAGGGTCCCTTTGGGGGTCCGTAATATAATACGGCACCTAATATTTAGGGTACCCAAAAAGGGACCCTAATTTTGACAACCACCCATAGCATAGAAATCCGCAGCACCCCCAAGCCGAATTCTGTAGGCTTCTGCCTAGGCCCTGGATCTTCTTAGGCCCGGATCCCCATCAGACCCTCAACCCTGAATCCCCAGAGACTCCAAGACCCCTTAATTAAGGAATATACCTTAAAGTATAGGAGCCTTAAAGGGATCTACAGGGGTTTAGGGTTTAGGGTTAAGGAATATACCTTAAATCTTATTAGGGATCCTACTATAAGTTAAGGTATATTCCTTAATCAAGGCGTATTGGAGTCTCTGGGTCCCCTCTCGACCCTGAATTGCTGAGCCCATGCGCTTCGGACCTTGGCAAAATGGCAGTCTGTGTGGGGCCGAGGGGTCTTGGGCGAGCGGCGGCTTGAAGAGGGTGCTAACCTTCGAGGTCCGTGGAGATATCAATAGCAGTTGCACTTAATGTAGCCTGAAGCAGAACCCCTTAAAGTGGATCCCTACTGGACATCAACTGGTGATGCCGAGTGGCCAGTACGCTGCGTTGGCTTCATCCACGCATGCGAGCCTAGGCCAGTGATAAAGCCGCGGGTGTTCGGCCGTCTTTGGGCGCTAATCAAAGGGTTGGCAGGGGTCGTGAGTCGTGTTTATAGACCGCAGGTAGGTAGTTGTGCTCTGCCAGGTTTGTGTAACTGCTGATTCTCCTCTGTTTCACGAGTCCGTCGGCGTCGCAGATACATCGTTGAAGAAATAAGTACCTATTTCCTTTTGGGGGTTCCTTACTATAACTATAGTAGACTATACCCCAAAACCCTATTCTAGCTAGGAAGGCCCCCTATCCTCCTTCTGAAGTCCAGGAAGCACTGCACCATCATCGGGATCTAAGCGCCTTACGAGCTGCCCTTGCCCAGCCAGGCGCTGTGCTTCGACTTTCCCAAATGCTGCCCTCACTTACAGCATATATACATAGATAAGCGAATACGCACATGGATGTGTGTGTGTGTGTGTCTAAGCACCCATGCACACACACAACATATCTGTTTATACATACATATATATATATATATGTATGTATGTATGTATGTATGTATGTATGTATGTATGTATGCATGTCAACATTTTTCACATCTAAACTGTATATATATATATATAAACATATGTGTTATGACTTTGCCTAGCATTCCAACTCCCACACTATCGCTACATCTTGACCCTGGATGCACCCAAACATGAATATATCAGAATCTTACCTGTGCTTTTTCGATTTTTGGACCCTCGAGCAGATACACTTCACTGGACGGGCCGATCGAGCTATAAAACTGAATCTCTATCTGGGACGTTGGTGGAGCGGACTCGGCAACTCATGATTTTACAGGGCTCTAGGCCTGAAAACTCCAAAACGATGAGCCCGGGCACCGAAACCTTGCAGCTCTTGACTTTGGAAGAGAGCGCATTACAGGACTGGGGGCCAGCCTCAGGAGAGGAAGTACACGTCTCATTCAAGCTGCTTTGCCACGAAGGTTCCCAGACCCTGAAACTCGGACGTAGTTTTCTCAACATGAAGCTCGCCAACAACACGCCCTAACCACCCCCAAACACATCAAAACAAACCCCTAGCCCCAAAATGAAAACTCTAAACCTTCCCTGCTTACCACCCAGAAAGCAAAGGGCACTAAACCCGAAAATGAAAAAAACACACCCCAATTAAGCCCGGAACCTCACAAGAAAGGGCAAACAACAGCCTAAAGCCCCACAACAATATCCTAAACCCTAACCCACCTCCCCAGACCAAAAAAAGACAGTGCATGCATATGTTCGTGTATATATATATATACACATACATACATACATGTGTCTATATATATATATATATACATACATACTTACATGCCCTTGCCCTCCCACCATAAAGCCCAAACAGTCCAAGTACCATTATAGTAGTTGCTTAGTAAGTATTTGGGCCCCAAAAGTATATACTATAGCTTGGACCCTTTGGGTCTTCTGAGCCGCCCCGCCAAGGCACCGCCAGCTGCGCCGCGCGCTGCGTCTCCAAGCGCCGGGCCCAGGTGCTGGGCAGCGCCAGGAGCCTCTTGGGGTTCCTTTAAAGGGGCTTTATAGGGGTTTATAGGGGTTTATAGGGGGTTTATAAGGGTTTAGGGTTTAGGGTTCAGGGGTTCCTTTAAAGGGGCTTATAGGGGTTTATAGGGCTTATAGGGTTTATAAGGGTTAAGGGTTTAGGGTTCAGGGTTGAGGGCTTATAGGGTTTATAGGGCTTAGGCGGTGCCCCCAAGGGTCCAAAGGACCCAATAATCAGGTACTTAGGTTTGGGATAGTAGTTATGTAGGTTACTAACTCAGAGAGTATATGATTATTAGGTACTGGACCCTTGGGGTTTTGGGTTTAAAGTTTAGGGTTTAGGGTTTAGGGTTTGGGGTTTAGGGTTTAGGGTTCAGGGTTTGGGGTTTAGGGTTTGGGTTTAGGTTTTAGGGTTCAGGGTTTAGGTTTATAGGGTTTATAGGGTTCCTTTTAAAGGGATCTGCGGGGGCGACCACAGGGATATTCAGGGTTCCTTTACAGGGATCCGTGGAGAAACTGTAGGAGAAGGGTTTTTGTGAAGGGACCGATAGGGGGACCACAGGGATAAGGCTTCCTTTGAAAGGATCCGTAGGGGGGAGCATTGGGGCAAGGGTTCCTTTAAAGGGATCTGTACGGGGACTGCAGGATGAGGAAGGGTTCTATGGGACTATGTGGGTTTAGGTGCCTTTACGGATTCCAGAGGGCTCCTTAGCGAGAATAGAAAAAGAGCCGTTTAGGGATCCACTCTATTTTGCAAGCTTGTTGTGCAGGTTCTTCCTTAAGGGTTTCTGAGCATTCCTGGTTCTAATGTAGGAGTTACATGGTCTCGGCTTATAGCTTTTTAGCCCAGGTTCTTCCTTGAGGGTTTCGTTCCTGATTCGGTTGTTGTTTCAATTGGCTTTGTAGGTTTTTGATGTGTTTTGCATAGGTTCTGGAGGGTCTAGTAAGTAAGGTTTGGGCTTCAGGGTTTGAGGGTTCAAGGCCACAAGCGCCTCAGCAAGGTTCTCTAACTTAAGTCCAGGAGCCTACAGCAACTTGCGGATTTTCAAACCAACTCTATCAGGGTCAATAAGGAGCCTCAGGCGTTCTAAGGGCGTGGTTTCCCAAGGGTATGAGGATAATCAACCGGATCCGATGCTGATCCTACAAGAAAGAGATCCTACGAATGGTGCTTAGGAGATTGATTGTGTTCAGGGCTTAGGGTTCAACTGATCGTGTTTAGGATCTTGGACATGTGGCTTGAGATGTCTTGACTTGGCTGGCTACCGGAATTTGATGCACATTGATGCACTTCATGTACATGTCAGGATCTAGGGCTCAGGGTTTAGGCCCAGTTGTCTGCATCTCGGGCTTCAGGTTTAGAGGGGGTGTCAATGTAGATCGCCTAAGAGAAGTCTGGTGGCGTCGAACTCTAAACATCTTCAGTTAGAGCTTCAAGAACAGTACCGGTAAAATCTGAGAGCGGCTTGGACAAGCCCTGAACCTTGATTTGGGTCGCTCACAAGGTTGAGGTGATCAGAGATCGAGAAGTGGTATTGACGGATCGATGTCTCTTAAGCTTATGGTCGCAAGAGGGTTCAAGATCAAGGCCCGAAATTCTGAATTATGTTACCAATGATTCCGAAGATGTCAACCCAGCTGCCTCGTTGCGTTGCTCTCTGCGGCCAGGACCGCCTTACCATCAGACGCTTCGACAAGTTGCTGATGCTTATATTTTGGTGTGTATATGTGTATATATATATATATACACACACACTTACCTACCTACCTAATTATCTACATATCTGCCTATCTACCTACCTATCTATCTGTCCATCTACCTAGCTAGCTACCTGCCTACCTACCTACCTACCTACCTACCTACCTACCTACCTACCTACCTACCTGCCTACCAACCGACCTACCTACCTGCCTACCTACCTACCTGCCTGCCTACCTACCTACCTACCTACCTACCTACCTACCGACCGACCGACCGACCGACCTACCGACCGACCCACCGACC